AAAAAAAAAAAACATTTATACAAGGACCACAGATAAATGTTTCTCTGAGCAAACATTTTGAGCCCTTTTCCTTGTCATCTGGTTGTAGGAAGTAACCTGAAGAGAGGAGAGTGCTCTGTTCACTGACCTGATAAAAGGAGCGTGCTGTGGTCTGATAAAGACAAACAGACAGACGCCCACCAGTTGCTCAGAGGCCAGCAGCACGTACTTGTTGTCTCTGGAGATGGTTTTCTGAAGTTCCACAGCCCAGAGCTTCTGATTTGTGGTGCTACCAGAAAACATGACAAAGAGAATCTTTCAAAAGATATTGATAATGGTCAATTAAGCCTTACTTATTAAAATTGTAACCTGCTGTCATGAAATCCAGTGACTGGAACTCTCTGTAAGCTGTTACTTCCTTTAAAAGAAAAACTCAAAGTTTAACCAGGAGAACTTCATTCTTCAAAATCTATTACTCCTTTACAAGCAAACCTGAGCTTTCTCATTGAATGAGAAGCCAGCACATGAGCAGTCACAAGTATGTATGCTTTTCCTTATGTGCTCGTATGGATGACAGAGATGTGTATGCTTCCAGATCAATTTCCCTTATTTTTCTGGTGTATGATTAGCATATATTTTTAAACATTTGGAAAAATTTAAATGTACATATGAAAAAGATAATCATAAAATAAACCACTATATACCTATCAGCCAGATTAAGTGGTTATGAATATTTTGTTCATCTTTTTCTTCTCATCTCTTCCTTTTTTTGGTTAAGTGTGGAATATTTTTAAACCAAGTCGAAGATCCATGCCAGTTCACCTGTAAATACTTTTGTATACATACTTACTGCCACAGAGCAATTTTTATTTTTACGTTAAAAATAAGTGATGCTGTTGTCACACTTGAGTATTAAAATTCCTTAACACCACCTCATCTTCGTCCATATTTAAATTTTTCTGATTACCTAAACAGTATCTTCTTGCAGCTGCTTTCTTGAAACAGGGCCAAACAAGGCCCCGACACTGCACATGCCTCTTGTGTCTCTCCTAATCTCATTGTTCTCAAGTCTTCCCACGCTACTCTCTATTAATGTCATTTATTTGTTATGAAGCTGTGTCATTTGTAAGTCTGGATTATTTGGCTGGCATGTCTTCATGCTGTCTTACCTGGCCCCTCTACCTCTCCCATTTGCTTTAAACAAGCTAACACAAAAGCCTGATTAAGAAAGACTTTCATTATAAAATAAAAAAATAAATATATATAAAAAAAAAAGAAAGACTTTCAATTTATGTATTGGGCAGTGCAATCACCCTTACATCACAATAGGAAGTTCACTTTCGGTGAGTTTACACTTGGTCAGCTCTTGAGATTGTGACAATCTAATCAACTCTTAATTATAAAACGTTCCCCTATTAATCCATCGTCTAGGGCTTTCACATATATTTAATCACTGACTAGACCTATGACTTCACTCAGCATTACAAAATATTGACTTTATTATTTCAGCATTCCACAGGATTTTGTAGTAAGCTGGAATTCTTCTATAAAGAACTTTTTTTTTTTAAAGATTTATTTATTTATTCATACAGAACTGGGGTACAGGCCAGAGATGCGGAGGGTGAGAGGATTCACCAGAGACAGAGTGGGGAGCAGAACAGGCAGATCGACGAAGTACACTGCTGAGGGGAGCAGCGGGCGGATCAGGAGAGGTCTGCCACGCCATGTGGTCACCTCCGGGGCAGGCGGGAATTGAACTCATGCGGAAGCGGCTTTAGATTCTCAGTGCTGTGCTTTAACCCGCTGCGCCATCAGGGAGGGCCCCTATAAAGAACTTTTACCAAATATTCAATTACTCTGAAACACAGTTCACATAAAGAAGGAAGGATAAATGCTTCAATGTTTGCAAATTTTTGGAATAACAAGTAGTTAAGAACCTCCACAGGAGTGCAAGACAAGTGACGAGAGGTGTGCCAGAACATGCCCTCCACCCACTCCCACCTGGCGCTATGCCACACTGTGTCCAAAATACAGATTCAGAACTGGGATCGCTAGCCTGTCCCCTAACTCTATGACTTGGATTCTGAAGTGAGAATCACAACTTCTATCCTTTCTTCAATTCACCCCTCAATCCTCTCAGTAAACCCTCTCTGACCAGCCCAACTAAGAATGCAGACGCCTCCCACTTCCATATGCCGTGCTCTCTTTTCCTCATGTTCCTCCACTGCACTCACCAACTTCAAAAGCTTTATCATCTACTTATTACAGTTCCTATTGATTGTCTCTTCCCGTTAGAATATAAGGGGCTTTTGTTTGTTTTATTCACTGATGCATCTTCATCAACAGAGAAGGTGCTCAATAGACATGGTTAATCAAATAAATGACTAATCACCGGTATATTAAAGATTTGATTAAGTTCTATTTAGGCAAACAATCAAAACATCTGGTACAAGGAACCCTGTAAGTATGTTCTATTTTAGGGCCTGAATTTATATTTTCAGGAAAGACCTTCAAACAGCAAAATGAAGGAAGTTGGAGTCTTGACTACTTCCCCATATGAACTGCTATCCACTTTTGTAAAGTCATTACTTGTAAGATTAATGACTATACCAAAATATTTCTACCCATAATTTTACAGTTCTGAAAATCTTGAAGAAAATGATACAAAAGATGAGCAACTACTCAACCTTAAAAGAATGCATACTTTCATAAATAAACACTTAAGTTTTACTCAAATTACTTGTATTTACAATAATGCTTCAGAACAACGGTTCGGAAAAGAGACAGTAGTACTTTATTCCAGGGAGGAAAACATACTTGAATAATTTTATGATGAGATCAGTGATGACATAACTAATATGTCTTGATATTAAATAATGAAATGTGTCAAAACTTCAGACTATCGACGTACTCTGTTAATTAACATTTTCCAAATGAACAGTATGAGACGTCTCAAATTCACGAAAGGGTAAATGAATTTCAGTGTAAGAGCGCACGAAAGGTTCACTGCCATGATTTCAGATTCCACACTGTAACTAAGCTTTAATAAGCTACTATTTGTTCAGTTTTGGCAAAGTATCAGAAAAGAAACAATCTGAAAGACTATTAAAAATTATTTATTGGCGGCCCTCCCTGGTGGCGCAGCGGGTTAAAGCACAGCACTGAGAATCTAAAGCAGCTTCCGCATGAGTTTGATTCCCGCCTGCCCCGGAGGTGACCACATGGCGCGGCAGACCTTCCTGACCCGCCCGCTGCTCCCCTCAGCAGTGTACTTCGTTGATCTGCCTGTTCTGCTCCCCACTCTGTCTCTGGTGAAGCCTCTCACAGCCCCTGAGCCTCTGGCCTGTACCCCAGTTCTGTATACACAAATAAATAAATTTTAAAATTAAAAAAAAAAATTACTTATTGGCAACTATATACTGACAAAATTTTCTTTATATACTTCAACCAAAACAACATATTAACAATAGGCTAGTACACAAATTGCCTTAAGCCAGATATTAACAAGAGATTTGTGAAAATACATAATAATGCTATCTTTCTTGGTAAATTTTTCCTTCAGAAAAGTTAAAGGAAATAGCTACAGGTTGGGGAGTGGGCTAAGGAGGGTGGAGGAAGGAGGAATATGTTATTGCTGTTATCATTTTTGTTTTATGTTAACATGTAGTGGGTTTATTACTGGTATTTTTCAAATGATTGTTTTAAAATTTTTATTTTTAATTTCTAGTTGATAAATATCAAAATATAACTCACATTAACAAAAGTTATTTAAGATTACATTTTTCAGAGTATAGAAAGACCCCAAACTACAAAGTTTAGAGTGCTGTGCAGTCCAAGAAGCCCCTACATGTCCTCTCAGTTGGAAGGTGTGCCCAAGTCATCTCCCTGACTTACCTGGCATTCACAATATTTCCGGCATTTAACTCCACCATTTCTTCAAAACCAATTGCAAATATGTCAGTTGGTTTACTTCTTTTATCTACAATTAAGCATCCAAGAAAGACTTTTAAATAACAACTTCAGTCAAATGACAACCCAAAAAAGCTCACGACCAGATCCCAAAGAGATCCATTTTTATGTTTTAAATTTAACCAAATTCAAGTTAAAGGCAAAGACCCATCAGTGGGGTCCAAATTTGCTTTCTATTCAAATTCAAATGTCCCAAGTTAGCTTCTTTAAAATGTTATTCTTGAAGTTCCTTAAGTCCTTTCAGAAATCACTACAAAAGACAGACAGAATACCTTCCTCAAAGGCACATTGGGAAGGTCAAAGAAATCCTGAGAACAGGCACTAAGTAGCTGAGAAACCATCTCAAGTTAGAGCTAACAGCTGGGAGGGACTCTGCACCTTCCACGCTTGATCTATTTGCTGTTTCCTAGGTGGAAGAAATTCAGGAAAATTAAAAGAGGTTTGGGGGGGCGGGAAGACAGACTGTTGTTCTAGCCTTCTGCTCACTCATAGCTGACAAGGACTGAAAAAAAAACCAAGCTGTTTGAGATAAACTACCCAGAGGTAATTTGGAGAGCGCAAGTATTCAGAAATGAGGACAAATGGCTAGCAAGAGTGTATGACTACTATGAACTAATACTGAAAAATGGAAAAGGAAGAATATTTACTTACTGCTATTACTCAGGGCTCAAATGTGCATCATTTCGTTTAATTACTACACACATCATCAAACAAAGTGTTTCTGCCTTTTATTTACAGACAGGGAATTGCCACTTTGCAGGGCTCAAGCCACGTGCCCAAATTCACACATAAAATGCACTAGACAGACACTCAAGAGCAGACTCCTGCGCCCAAATCCTGGTTCTGTCGCTACAGGCTGCACAGCCGTGGGCAGGTTACTTCCCGTAGGCTTTTTCATCTGTCAGTCTGGAATAGCAGCAGCTGTGCAGTCGCTCTGCTATGAGGATTAAATGAATGTAAATAAATATAAAGTACTTAGAATTGTGCTAGCTATTAATGATAGTAGTAATTACAGCCACAAATCCAAACCAGTATCAGTTGTGAATGAAAAGGGGTATTTTAATGAAACTTTGAGAAAAACCCCAAAATAAGAAGTAAAATTGGTATCTCACACTATTTTCGATGTATGTCACCTGCACTTATACTACTCCTTTTGAGAAGGAATTAAAGTAGATTTTTTAAAAAGGTGGCAGTCTCAAATTCATGGTTCTAGTCAAAATCTTAATGAAAGAAAGCATCCTCAGCTTAACATGTTCTGATTAGAAACAGCACGATGGCAGAGGACCCAAACTGAGTGACAACTGAGTTCCAGTGATGAGCCAGACGGATTAAGTCACAGACCAACAAAAGCAGAAGGGTTTGTGAGACTACTCAGGAGCCTCTCTGAGTGTTCCTACCTAAGTGACTAGATTTGGAAAATGAAACATTTAGGTTTGAAAAGGAAACTCAAATTATCAATAGTCAAATACCAAAGAAAAACATTTAAAAAATTTTTAAAGTTAAAATTTTAAAACTTTTCTTAATAAAGGAAAATAAAACTCTATGAATGAAAAAGAGATAAGACATTAATAGCGATGATCTATAAAAATGTTGGCCGTCGTTTTCATAAATGCAATTTTTCTGTACAATAATGCAGACTGTAAAGTGCTCAGTTGTTTTCTGGATCCATGAATCACAGTCAGGTCACAGTAACTCAACCCACACTACACAGAGCCAACCTTGGAACTCCTGGATGCCAGCTAACTTGGGCGCATCGAGAAGCCAGTCGGTGAGAGTCTGGTTCCTAAAGGCTATGCTGCGGAACTGCTTCCCGCCGTTCACGTTCCACGTTCCGACACACACTCGGATTTTCTTGGGCTTCGAATACTTGTAGAAATTCTCACACATGTTCTTTAGAACTTTAGAAGATGCTAATCAAAATCAAGACACAAAAGAATTTTAGCATTAAACCACATAATTTTTGTAACTGAGAAAAATGTTAGAAGTGCAGTTACCACCAGAAAACGAAATGAGCGTGACGTGCATGCACAGGCACATAGGTCAGCCTCGCAAGCCCCGCACAATGCAATGGACCCAGGGCAGTTTCTTAAAAAGTGATCGCAGTAAGTGCAATAGTCAACGTAAAAAGAGCCATTACAAACTAATACAGCAATGTAACCCATGCAGAACAAACAGTTCTGTTTCAACGGAATAGTGGTACTTTATAATATACATTAGAAACTGATCTCAGGACTACAGCAATTGTCTTTCATGTGACTTTCATTTGGAGGCTGATAAAAATATAAATTTTATTTTTCCCAAAAACTTTTAAGAACATCACATTTAAGATTCTAGCTACTGACAGGTGGTTTGACAAATAATGGCTCCTTGACAAATGTAAATTATGGGCAATAATGAGATGTCAGAGACTGAAATCATTACTAAATGCTTGCCATCTTGCTCAGATAGAAGCCAAAGTCCTTAACAATGGTTTACAAGGCCCTGAACAATCTGCCCTTGCCTTTCTGCCCTCGTCTGCTACCTACCCCTTCCCTGTTCAATCCTACTCATTGGCTTCCCTGCTGTTTCAAAAAGATGCCAGTGCTGTTCCCAGCACAGGGCCTTTGCACCAGCTGTTCCACTTGTTGCAACACTTCTTCCTTACCTCTTTCAGATCTCTGCTTTCCCAGACCATCTTACTTAAAAGTTCATTCTGTCCCAAACCTTCCATTTTCCCTCATTCCTTTCTATAGAATTTATTGCCCTTTCCAAACTATGTATCTTATTTATTCATTCTGTAACTATCTCTCCTCACATGGCTAGAGCTTTATGAGAGCAGAATTTTGTTTACTGCACTCTCTCTAGTGACTAGAAGAGAACCTGGGTCAAGTATATGCTCATTAAATAATGAATGAATGCTCAATAATCTGAATCCTAAATCTCCTTACTGCATAACTGTTGACAAACACCTACCTTTCCTCCTTCTAAACTACACTTCATTTTGCTTGAATTAAATTTTTGGCACTTAAAGTAGATAGAAGCTTACCAAGACCTCAACCTTAAAACAGAGACTATGTACTTAGTTGTCAGTTAACTGGTAAGGGAAAAAGGAAGTTGAAATGACACCCTCACCTCTTACTACATGATCTTGGTTTATTACCGTTATTATTTTATGATAATAAAATGACAGTTATGAAAGAATGAGAGTAAAACGGGCAAAAATAGTTCAGTAGTATTATGAAAATGACTCCCCTGAAAGAAGTGTGATCTAGATGAGAAGCTGTGTTCCCAGAGGCAGACATACCACGTTCTAATCCTCTCCTCCATTATTAAGTTTCTTGCACAGAGGAGTCAGGTGATGACAAGAGCAGATTATTTGTTCTGGCTACAGGTGTGGCTAGTTTAAAGTTGGTTGTCCCCACATGAAAAATTACTCTCTATCATTATGGTTTGTCACTGGCCTTCATAGCTTAAGTCACTGCCATTGCTATAATTATGATAGCAGCGTCTGCAGTCCCTTCTATATCAAAAAGCCATGCTCTGAGGTTAAGTAGTTTAAAATATTCAACAAGAAAATAATGAACTGTGTGAGAATAACAGGTTGCCACATTGTATGAAATAGGAAAGTCTACTTAAATGGATAAAAAGTTACAAAAATTTCCCTTATTATTACAATAGGCACCTTAATAAGCAGAAAAAAAAATAAGCCTATGTTCCAACAGATGTCAATCCTAAATAGCTTATTTTAGAAAACTGACTTCATCAAAATATACCCAATGCCCACTTCCTCCATTCTTCTCAAAACAACAACCAACAGTTATCCACAACATAACTAAGGAGAACAAATGTTGAGTGATATCCAGTCTTAGTGAAGGGAAGTAAATAAGTCTTTTTCAGCTAAACTTCTGGCAATAGCATAGCTTATGCATCTTTGCCACAACTTCATATTTATAGTCAAGATTTAGACCTTTTCCTGGGAGTGAAGCCATGAGGTACTGTATACAGGAAGGGAAAGACAAGCAGTGACCTTTAAGATCTTACCCGCTTAACAACTCTAACTTTATTAGCATCTTAATGCTTTTAAGAAGATTCCAGATTGCATTTTAGATCACATCTTATAATTACAGAAAATATTTCATCCACACTGAGAAAATGAAAATGCCTTTAAGTATTCTTGAGTACTTATATATATCACAGAATACTCTGCAACTAACCCAAAATAAATCAGTTTCTTTACATTAGCCTGCTTAAAGTATATCACTAATAACATTTGTTTAATAAAATATAAAAGTAAAATTAAAACTAGATAAACCATATTTAATTGGAATTAGGCATTTACTACAGGAAGACAAAGAGCACTACATATTTTCTTCTAAATGAAGTTGTCTGTTTTCTTAAACTTCACATTTTTTCCTCAAATTAAAACAAGAAATCAATTATCCTGTTAGAATCTGAGGGCAAAATAAGAAAATTTCCAAAATTTTTATGTGACTTGATTTATTTACCATATCAACTTTAAAAAATAATAAAAGGTTTTTTCATTTATAGGTTGATTTTCTATACTGTACCTGACTGTAATGTCTGTTCAGATACTATGGATGCATCAAGAAGGAAACAAAGAATCATTAGTAAAACATCAAGTTACAGTTAAAACCTATAGTGTTACCACAAAACATTCTAAGATGGTCTCTCTTTGTTCTTTCAAAAGTCAATATGATGAATTTAACTTTTACTGATTACTAGGGGGCCCCATAGGGGAAAAATAATGAAAGCATGGATGCAAAACCTCTGCAGCCAAGGAAAACCCTACAGTGACTCAATGATTTCCAGACCCCAAGGGCCCAGGCTGGCTTTTCAGGCTACTCCCATGACTGACTGGGTGTTGAATGTGTGTGCATACACTTATATTGAAGAGAGAATATAAACATGAAAATTCAAGAGACTGGAGGCTACTGAACATATAAAAGATACTGTCTGGTCATGCACCTTCTAGTAATCTCTGTGGGACTTACCATCTGGTGAGTACGATCAGTTCAGTCATGACAAAACATACAATAGATATAAAATCACCATGCTATATGAAACTGCAAATTCCCCTAATCCTGGGGCAGATGGGGGAATATAGGGCACAAACACTCAAAAATTTCTGCGGTGACTCACCAAGCAGCACAATTTAAAATACATTAAATGGTTAAGAAGTGCATGAATGCTCCTAATACAGCACTTCACCTTCCAAAGATCTAAGTTAGCTTGTAGCAATGGCTATCAGGATTGCTGCAGCTTGTGAGTGACAGGGGTTTGGAAATGACGAAATGAAAGATTCTCTGAAATGGGAGGAAATGTTTTAACAGAAGGTGTGGGTGGGTGTGGCTCACAGCACAGCTGGTGACTGAGGTGGAGAGATGGCTCAGTGGTTACCACACCACACACCTATGTGCATATCTGTGTACGTGTGGTGTGTGTCCCCACCCCTGGTCTGTGGGGTGCAGTGTCATTGCTGGCAGAGTCATGTATAAACTAAACTAGAACTGGTATTATGCTCAATGTTCCCTAAGGTAGCATTCATTTCAGAATAAATTCCCATTCTAAGGACAAGTTATAGCATGATACTACTGTTTTATTTAGCATACTTCACAAACATTTAAAATGTGAGAACTATAAAACTGGTGCTCAAGCTTGGGAGTTCCTTAAGTTTCTTTCTTCTTCAGTTGCTTACTTTCAATTATTGCTTAAGAATACCTCCATGTCAAAGTAGGCACAGGTGGAAAGAGGTGAGAGGATGCAAACTCTCAAATCACTACTGCTGGAAGCCAGAAAAAAGCCTGAAGTGACAAGCAGTAGCTCTGATCAAATCTTGATTTTTAGAGCTTCAATAAGGTTCAGCCCTCCAACTGACTTACAGATCCCAGAGCCACTGACTACCTCCACAGCCTTGTGGAATTCAGAAAGATTCCATGATGACCTAATTGGCCAAGTAATTGTCCAAGAGTATAGTCCTTGATGAGGAACAATTTCTTCTACCTGAATGGGAAAACTGAATGGGTCTGGTTTGGGGATAACAAGAAATTAAAATATTCAGGGCAGTGAAAAATCAAAATAGAAAAATAATAGGTTTAAGGAAATCTTATTTATTATTTTGTAATGACTTAAGTTTTTCCATCATGCATAATACTACTTATATATACTTAACCAATAGGAGCTCAAATTGCTTTGATTTTAATAACAGATACAGTTAAGACAAAATGTTGCCCTGAAAGCACATATTTATGTCAAATATTAAAACTTGGAATAGTGAGTGTCTAGTAATAAGCAATATTTTAAATTAATTAATATGATTTAGTGTTTATTCAAACAGCAACTAAAAAGATTACATTATAATAGCTTTTAGGGTAGCAATTAGCAAAATAACCAATATAGATATTGCTTTTTAACAAAGCACTTGTTTACTACATAATTTGGTTGTTGAATGTTCTATTAAAGGTACTAGCTGAATATTTTATGAAACCGTGTCTTCCACAGTTAGCAATACTTAAACCATTTACCTCCTCGCTATTAAACTAAAAAGAGAACGCATGCATAGGCCTCTTTTTATGACTCAACACCACTGATGGTATAAACATTTCAAATATGCAATTTTTAAAAATTACACTCATATGAAATTCCTTCCAAATTATATTAATCTACTCAATCTACACTTTATGCAAAAAGCTTTCATTTATCTCTTAAGACATTTAGAAAAAATACAAATAGCACAAAGAAAGTAAAACACAAAGTAAGCACACCTACCACGCAAGCTTCCAGTAGTTAAAAGTGCTCGAGCTTTGTCAGCCAAGTCACTGTTTAGAGTGTTCCCCAGGAGCAGAACATCAATGGCCTCTTGCTTGGAGCTGTCGAAGAAGTTATTCTGAATTGTTCTAGTAACAGAACGTGCACCATCTTTTAACTTTCCAGCCTGTTGAAGAAGGAAGGGACAAGGATTTTCATTCTAAATATTGTTGATTTTATCCAGTAGGCATTCTGAAACTTGAAATTAGTTTTATATGATTTCACTAGAATATAAAGAACCTAATACTTCCATTTTGAATATTTAACCATCTCATTAAAATGGCTCGAGAAACCACTGTTTCATCTTTTTAGATAACAGCTGTGCACAGCTCACAGCCCACAGCTGCGCCCAGTAATGACATCCAGAACAGTAAATGTGGGAAACTGTTTACAACAAAGGAACTAAATGGAAGGAAACTTTTTCAAAACAAGTAAATTACTTTTTACATCCCTACTTACAGACTGGGATAAGATAGGGAGAAGCAAGGGGGACAAAGAAGGGTATGTTATACTTACATGCTTTAGAAAAACTTCAAAGTATATAGCAGGAAAATGCTTCCCAATAAATTATATTAGTCAAAACTAAAATTTAATGTAGGAATGAAGGGCTAGTCTAAAAAAATTTCAAATTCCAGTTCATAAATAAATAGTACATGTAAACTACAGTTTATTTATTTTAAGCCATTTTACTGGTTATATAACTATAATAAAAATAGCAAATATGCCAATTCCAACAGTGAGAGAATTAACTAACTTTTTTTTTTTTTTAAAGATTTATTTATCCATACATACAGAACTGGGGTACAGGCCAGAGGCTCAGGGGCGGCGAGAGGGTTCACCAGAGACAGAGCGGGGAACAGAACAGGCAGATCGACAAAGCACACTGCTGAGGGGAGCAGCGGGCGGGCCAGGAGAGGTCCGCTGTGCCATGTGGTCACCTCCGGGGCAGGCGGGGATGGAACTCATGCGGAAGCGGCTCTAGCTTCTCAGTGCTGTGCTTTAACCCGCTGCGCCACCAGGAAGGGCCTAACTGTAACTTTTAATGAACATTTATTTTCCGTAGGGATATTAGTTACTATAAAGACTTATTTTGATTTCACAGATTTGGATGATTGTTTAAAAAAAAACCACTCTTAGGAAAAACATCAATTTGCAATATGTATGTCTTATTCCTTTAACCTAAGGCTTAAATGTTATTTCCTTCCTTATAATAACACAGACAAATGACATTTGAAAAGGCACTCACCATTCACATTACCGGGCAATTAATCAAAAGGAACCCAGAGAAAGGAAAAGAAAGAGCAGTTCAGAAGTTAGATTTTAGTTCAATTCAAATTAGTAGATGTAATAATACAAAATTTCACTATGTACTATGTTAGAGAGACTGAAGACCACTGAAAAGATATATAACTTCTGACATTATTGGCTTAATCACTACTAAAACAAGAAGGTAAAAGAACATAAAAATATTTTAAGCAATGGTTCTAGAAAATCATGTTTTACTAGATAGAATTATGTTGCTAATAAAAGGAATTAAGTCAAAGCTTAATAATTTCAGGCTTTCAAGAATAGGGACCATTTACGGGGTGGGGGGAGGGAAATGCACGGGATTATGGTGATGGCACACGGGTGACTTGGTGATGGGAAACCCGCGAGGATTACAATTGAGATGGGAAAAAAATGTACAAAATGATGTAAAAATAAACTTTTGTAATAAAAAATAGGAAAAATAAAAAGAATAGGACCATTTTGGAAGTAAATATTTCTATATGTCAATACAAGTCATTTCAATGAGATGAACGACAAAAAAAAATTCTGCAGGTAAGGTCAATACTTCTGGAAGGATGCATGGCAGAGTATGAGACACGAAAGAGGAGGGAGATTTGGAAATTAAAAGAAGACCAAGATAAATGAGTCACTCTACTAAAGAGGCTGAATAGGAACTGTGAATATATTGTTCTTTCTGTTCTTATGATGGATTTGAAGAACTGCAGAGAATTAAAATATAATAAATCCAACTAAAGTCAGAAGCCTTAAAGAGTCAATATTTAAATGTATAAAATAATGAAAAGACATCATTCATGCTTCCAAATAAGAGCCAAAACTAGATCAGAAAGTTATCGATAGAGAATAACAACAATTAAAAAGTTACGTTTGAAGTACAAAATTGTAAGTCCATATCTCACATTTCTTTGCATATTTTGATAGCCTCCTTCTCAGAGCAAGATAAGGAGAAGAATAAAAACTCAGCATTCTATCCCCAATAATGTAGTGTTCATAGTTGGTATGGAATACATTGTCCACTGATTTATTTCTATATGTCACGTATCTATTAAATACTGTGTCAATCCTGGGAAGAATCAAATGATATAGGATCTTTTAGGAGGCTTGTAAATTTAAAAAACACAATTTCATAAACAATATAAAACATCTACAAGGGAAAATTATAAAAAATGTAAGCTATACGTATGTATGTACACATACATATATATACTTAGTAGGCTACTACTAAATGACCGCTTACGTCATATATACACACATCCTACACCTGGGAAGTAAAACTATCTTCCTGTCAATTGTCAGCATCTACTATGTTCAAGTGGACATGAAAGCACAATGAAACAGAATTCTAAAACAGCTACTTAAAAATAAATTTTCAAAAAGACCACTTAAAATCTTCCTTAAAAGAAGAAAGAGATTCTTCTGCGATTATGTAGCTGGGCACCCACCTTTGCTTTACCCTCCAGAGCGCCAGTGCCTGCATATATTTTACTGATTGAGTCGCCATTCACAGACCACATGGACCGAAACACTTCTTGAAAACGGGTAACCAGCTGAGGCTTTTCAGCTAAGCCCAGAGCTTCCAACTGTTTAGCTAGCATCTACAACAGCAAAACAGAAATTGCCTTCACTACATTAATACGTCTGTTATGATTTTGCTTTTTTTTTATGAGTTTACTTTTTAAGAACTGCAAGAACCAAACCAACAATTTACATTTAGTGTGTACTATAAGGAGCAACATTCTGACAAAATAAATTTACTAGGTTAATGGTGTTATTTCCCATCATTTCAATTTTGAAAGTAGTATCAGTTAATGAATCTTACAAATAACTTAATAATCTCTTGCAGGAATAAGAACTTCTTTTCTGGTTAAACAATAAAATTAATTTTATTAAATATCCCCAAAATCAGATTATCTTATTTAACTAAAAGAATGAATTATTCAGCAACATGCTCTAAGTAGTACAAAATAATAAAAATTACCTAGTTTATCTAAACAGAGAGAAATACTATTCCTAATTTGGTTTTATATATTTGAATATTCATGGTCAAGCAATTATGAGAAAAGTAGAGTTGCTCTTGAATTATCACACACATAAAAGCCCTATCTCTAAATATACAGCTTTTATGCATAAAATCTATATTGGTGAGTTGTACAGGGAAAATGAGAAGAAACAGAATGCAAGGAATATAGGAGTCTTTAGGCCACCAAAATTCCTTCATTTCAGATAAAAAGTGCTTAGAAAAATTTTTGGTCTTTGTGTCAAAGCAATGTATAATTTTTATCAGTCTATTTCTCTTACTTGGAATCCAGTCATAGTCATAGTCATAGTCTGTCTTAGTTTTACTTAATTCCATCCCACTTGTGTTCAGTTTATTGTTTATCTTGTTTATCTTTTTCTGTGTGTGGCAATTACCCATATCTATAGCTGGATCAAGAACTAAAATAATATAAAAAAACACTAAATTGGGTTTGTGAGATTATCTGGTACTTACTCCAGAGCTGTTCTTTGCTATCATAGAGAATAAATCAAAACATGATTTCCTTTGTCATTTATATCTTCCTCTCTTTAAGGAGTTTGGCACAGCTGGTCTTTGTCCTAATTTGGTTTTACCTAGGTCAGCAGTAAATTGTGAACCCTGTCAACCAACTAATAGGTAGTTGTTTCATACTGACTACCAAGACTGTACAATCAGCTTAATCAACTTCTGAAAACTGACACGTCATTCATTTAATGAAGACTGTCAAGTATTTCGATAGACTTCCTTTCAGAATCTATGCAAATTTAAAAGACCACTTGAAAACATATCTTGGAATAAGTCCAAGTCATGTGATAAAATTCATCCAAATGACCAAATGCCTGCTTTCACTTCTGTTGTCTGTCGTATTTTCTAAATAAATTATAATAAACCTTAGCGACAGATTTCAAGACAGGCAAAGCAGCAAAATTTATTTAGTTACATGGAAATTATATTTCTCCAGTATTCTACACACCATACTTTCATTTTTGAGCTAAAAAGAGCCTCAGCTGCAGAGTAATTAACCAATGTTCTGGCCAAACTGAAGATCACTAACTGGAGGAAACAGGAAAATATTCCTTCCCATTCCTATTTTTAAATAGTGCTTAGAATAATGCTGACTATCTATGGTGTTAAGTAAAGACACACCATAGTCTTATGAAGCTAACTGTTGCATAAGACAGATTTAGAAAGCTCAGCACTGCTACAATTTGCCAAATAGTTGAGACTATGTATCCATTAGACTGAATTTGGTGGATAAGTGGTAAAGAAAAAAACCTTTCAGAGAAGTTCAATCTCATTATCTTTCACTCTCACTAACAATGGCATTCTCTTCTCAGGGTTTCTGTAGTTACTGACTTGATATGCCTTATAAACTGCACTGGGTTACAGACTGTAGAAAATATAACCTTGTAATATTATACATGCGACAACAGATCCTTCCCAACTCCTAAGAGATTCTCAAAACACAATGCAGAGAATGAAGGTCACGTACATACACATACAGAGATATGTACAATTTTTCTTCTAAAATGTAACCAAAAGATGCAATTATTGGAATAGCATAAAGAGGTTTTTTTTAAAGGGAAAATTAAGGAACAATAGCAGTATTCCCTGCTACCTAAAGAGAGAAACTTTGAGCAGGTAAAGGAAACATTTAAATGAAAAGGAATTTTCCCTTCCTTCCCCAAAAAAGACTAGAAGAGAAGCAGAGAACATCTTTAATGAAACAGAACTTCATTTTGTGAAAACTAGTGAGAAACAAAATATTACAAAAACTCTAAAGGAAGCATCATTTGATATAAGTGTCCTACACATAAATTTTGATTTCTGTTTTACCTCTAAGCCAAAGAAAGCTTGCACGCTATTTGTTCTGTCAAGACAATCCAAGCAGTTTGTTCGAACTGTACCACTCTGGCATCTGTAACAAATTCAGTAAAGTCAAACAGAAATGACACTGAGGTAAACTAAGTGAGAAAAACTAGTGCAGTTAGCAAGCCCACAAAAAAAGATGAAAACATTTTGCAGTGAACAGCCAAATACCCACCATGTAGGCTCTACAACTGTTACTATTTGCTTCCATATATTCTTCAGCATATCTCTATTCACTCATTCATATTTATTTTTAGTTAGGTTTGTTACCTCATAGTTCTCTACATATATAATGTAATCAAATAGTTATGGAAAGAATTCCAGAGATCTGTTATCTCTAAATACTCTACAAACTAAAAAACTAAAAATTTGACCTTCATCTGTTAGTTTACCTCAACTCATATTCTGAACTTAAAAATTTCAGTACTTTTCTTCTATATTTCCTAAGCAAAATCTGAAGATTTAAATTATTATTTTTTTTTTTTTTAAAGATTTAATTATTTGTGCGTACAGAACTGGGGTACAGGCCAGAGGCTCAGGGGCGGCGAGAGGCTTCACCAGAGACAGAGCGGGGAACAGAACAGGCAGATCAACGAAGCACACTGCTGAGGGGAGCAGCGGGCGGGCCAGGAGAGGTCCGCCACGCCATGTGGCCACCTCTGGGGCAGGCGGGAATCGAACTCATGCGGAGGCGGCTTTTAGATTCTCAGTGCTGTGCTTTAACCCGCTGCGCCACCAGGGAGGCCCAAAATCTGAAGATTTAAATTATTTTTAAAGCAGATAACCAACACATTTTTGTTTATCTGCACTTAATAGTCCTTACTGAGGTCAAGACATAGTAACATACTTCGTATTATGAGAGATGTGAAATGGTCCCATAGATATCAAACAGCAAGAGATCTGAAGTCAGATGAATCCTAGCTCAATAGTTATGTGGCCCGAGTAATTAAGGACTATGCCTCAGTGCCCTCAAATATGAGTAGAGACAATAACAGAATCAATAATTATGATTGTTTTTGATATATTTACAGTTGTGCTGCCTGGCCTATATTATATGCTCAATAATATATTATTTTTGCTGAATTCTAAAAAAGTTATTTCATTTAGCAATAAACATCAAATTGAAGAAATTTAACGATTCAATGTTAAGAACAATCTTTAAATTATAGAAAAGTTCTAGTTTATTAAAAGAAAAACAGCATCAAACCTTTGAACTTCACTTCCATTGAAATAAAAAAATCCATAATCTAGAAACTTCTGGACCTGTGGTTTAAGAATGCTATGTAATTTTTCTGCCTTCCCTCCTTTAACCATTTGATGATAGTCAAAATTCACCATGTGGATGTCGGTGGCATGTTCAGACGCTTTCAAATGGCTCTGTAAGTAAGAAGGCAAATATTCATCTAATGTCACGTTAGACGTTAAAATACGATCTTATCAGCATGGTCCACTGGGATCTTACTAACCTCACAAAGTTCTCATCCACACTGGCAGTAAAATGGACAGTTACCTCCTGATGTCTAATGATATTTTTTCACTAAAACCCTACATGCTACCCTGTGAGGTTAGGTGACATGATTCATGTCACAGGACTTAAATAATATTCTCACCTGGTTTATAAATGGCAAAATTATGTTTCAATTTTTACTGTATTTAGTAAATAGTTTACTAAATGTACTGTAAATTTGAATTTACTAAATTTAACTGTTAATATTGATTACAGAATCTCAAAGTAACTTATTTTTTAAGATAGAGCCCACAAAAGATTAGAATTTTCATTTTGATACCTTCACTCAATATATAAAGTCATTGTAAAGTATGATCTGCTTAGAAACAATTTTATTTCACAAGGTTAAAACAAAATCTCCAAGTAACTCTAACCTTCATTATGCTGAAGTTTAGAAAATGTTTTCTAATCATTTTGTTTGTTTATATTCCTATGCAACAGCATAATTTATTAATTCAATAAGCATTTATTGACTGCTTTAGATGTTATTTTCAGCAGTTCTTTGTTATGTGAAATTCTCATTTTCTCTCATCACTATAAGAAGGCTTGGTCTTCTATTTGCATCAGGCACCATTTCATAGCTTCAATGCAATCACCATGGTTTCCAGGAACTAGGCAAGTCAGTGAACAGATGAAAGAGGAAACTGCCTGGTATTTTTCAACTAGTGACAGATGAACATTTTGGGGGGATAAGAGTATTCTGCTCCTCTACAACATAAATAAGGCAAGTAGAAAACAGTGTCAATGCCTTAAATGCTTTCCATAATCCCAGGTTCAGCAACATAATCCTAAACTATTTCTTAACAGTCTTGAGATTAAAAGATACCAGTAAGTATCCAATCCTTTTCCAAGGAGAAGTTTACTTTCTGAGAGAACTTGATTGCTGTAATGTATTATTTTTCAAGTATTAATACTATTCTGAATGTCCACGGGGCCAGAACAGAAGATTATTCTTACCTGGAAAGCTTTGCTTAGCATATGTTCACCTTCCTTGGATCCAAGCAAATTTACTACAATTTGTTTGCCATACAAATTCTTAAGAGTTCTAAAATGCCTGTTAAAGAATATAAGCAAATGTCAAATGATAAGCCAAAAATGTTTTTCAATAAGAGGAATCCATTAACAAACAGTGGTAGTAATTTAAATTCATAGATTAACAAAGCTGGATATAAACCGAGTCCACATGATTTTGAAACTCTGAATTTATGAAAACTCAGCTCATGCAATTTCCTCTCTGACTCATCAGTGCTGAGACTCCCACCTATGCCAGAGCGGTCAGAGTCAGGCTCTCTCCCACTCTTCTCGGCTGGTGTTAGACAGGCACAGAGCACAAACCGATCGGCAGGCAGCAGGCGGTGGGGGTGGGGGAGCAGCTAGGGCAAAGGCGCAGCGTGGCAGCACCTCACATGTCAGGCAAACTGTGAGGTTTAGGGTGACCTTCAGGGCTCTAGCCTTAAGAAAAACTGACTCTCATTATAAGTCTATTTTTCTTTCCAGTTTCTAGCTATTCCAGAGGCTCTAGATCAAGGCCATTGAAAGAATATGACATGGGCCACAGGTTATGATTAAACATTTTCTAGAAGGCACATTTAAAAAATAAATTCAAACAAAATAAACTTACTTGTAAACAACTCTATCAAAAAATGGGCAGAAGAGCTAAAAAGACACTTCTCCAAAGAGGAAATTCAGATGGCCAACAAGCATATGAAAAAATGTTCAGCATCACTTGTAATAAGGGAGATGCAAATTAAAACCACAATGAGGCCCTCCCTGGTGGCACAGGGGGTTAAAGCACAGCACTGAGAATCTAAAGCCACTTCCACATGAGTTCGATTCCCGCCTGCCCCGGAGGTGACCACATGGCGCGGCAGACCTCTCCTGACCCGCCCGCTGCTCCCCTCAGCATTGTACTTTGTTGATCTGCCTGTTTTGTTCCCGTCTCTGTCTCTGGTGAAGCCTCTCACTGCCCCTGAGCCTCTGGCCTGTACTCCAGTTCTGTATGCACAAATAAATAAATATTTGAAAAAAAAACCCACAATGAGATACCACCACACCCCAGTGAGAATGGCACATCTTAAAACAACCAGCAACAACAAATGTTGGCAAGGAGGTGGAGAAAAAGGAACTCTCCTGCACTGCTGATGGGAATGCAAACTAGTACAACCACTATGGAAAACTGTTTGGAGGTTCCACAAACTGCTATAAAAGGAGCTTCCATACGGCCCAGCAATCCCACTCCTAGGTATCTACCCAACAATCACAAAAACACTGATTCAAAAAGACATCTGCACTCCTATGTTTATTGCTGCTTTATTTACAATTTGAAAAACATGGAAACAACCCAAATGCCCAAAAGTAGATGACTGGATTAAAAAGATGTGGTACCTATACACAATGGAATATTACTCAGCAACCAAAAAAAAACCAGACACATGCCTTTTGCAGCAACGAATGGAGCTGGAAAAGATCATGCTTAGTGAGATAAGCCAGAAAGAAAAGGAAAAATATCGGATGGCTTCACTCATAGCAGAAGTATAATGGACTAGGCGAGAAAATAATAATAATGAACAGCTATATACCAGAGACATTTTATGGGGATGCAGTGGGGAATGGAATAAAAAACAGTGGGGGAAGGGAAGTGCACTGGACTATGGTGATGGCACATGGTGATTTGGTGATGGGAAGCCCACGGGGATTACAACTGAGGTGGAAAAAGGGCACAAAATGATGTAAAAATAAACTATTATTTTTTTTTTTAAAGATTTATTTGTGCATACAGAACTGGGTTACAGGCCAGAGGCTCAGGGGCGGTGAGAGGCTTCACCAGAGACAGAGTGGGGAGCAGAACAGGCAGATCGACAAAGTACACTGCTGAGGGGAGCAGCGGGTGGGTCAGGAGAGGTCTGCCACGCCCTGTGGGTCACCTCCGGGGCAGGCGGGAATCGAACGCATGTGGAAGCGGCTTTAGATTCTCAGTGCTGTGCTTTAACCCGCTGCGCCACCAGGGAGGGCCTAAACTATTATTTTTTAAAAATTAACTTACTTATATTTTATTTAATCCAACTCCGCTAAAATACCATTTCAACATGCAGTCAATACAGAACAAATATTAATTAAGATATTATGGGTTTCTTTTTTTTGCATTAAGTCTTTGAAATTCAGTGAGTACAATCAACTTGTACTAGTCCCGTTTCAAGCACTCACCAGCTACATGGGGTTGGTGGCTACTCTATGGAACAGTGCACCCAAAGAAGTGGTATTCAGGCCAAGAGATCAAGCACAACACACCTGGTACTACCATCCCTAGACGTGGGACATAATGCTAAGTGCCACTGCTTCTAGTCAAGTTAGAAGTCAGGAGAAATTTTACTTAGACCCAAAAGGGCTGACTTAAATCAGTAAATATAATTACAGCTAATCTCACTGTTTCACAATATCAAAACTTATAGCACTGTGTGAAAGTAACTGGTCTTACCTATCAAAAGCAGGTGCATTGGCTTCAAATCCCCTTGACATACGGACACGATGAGACCCCACCTAGAAACAAAATATATGTCCAATCACACCAAAAGCCAGTATAGAGAATAAGACATATCACTCTTACCATCTGTTCATTGCCTAAATATACAACAGTAAATTAAATAATTTGCATTCATGATGGCCTTTTAAAAAATAAGTTCTAGGGATTTTTATTTTATTTCCTTTTATTTGTGAAGCCATGACCTCACACTTGCAAAATAATAGGGATTTTAATTTATGAAAGATTCTTAATAGTTCCTTATATACCTACCTGTTTTAAGCTCAAATTGTAAGCCCTATGTAAGTTAACAGCTATTATTTCCACGGGGGCAATAAAAATACTGAAATGCAGTAAAATAACCTGTTTCCATAGGTCAATATACCTAACTCCAACATAGACTTAATTTTCAGAGTTCTAAATTCCTATTCCCTTCAGTAACCTACAAGTGCAATGTGTTGTTGATGTGTTGTTTTTCACTGTTTGCTGAATATTCACTTTTTGCCTAGACATCCAATAAATTAAAATGATTGTTCCAGGAGAAACACTTCCCAAGTCAATCTGTCAGTCATACAACAATGGTAATAGCACATTTTGCAGAATCAGAAAATCTGGGTTAACAGAATTATATAAGAAGGAAAATATCTACCTATTGTATTTCATTATAGTTTTTCTTTTCTCATATAGTTCAGGGACAGAGAGAGATGGGGCAGAATGGAGAAAGCTGTATCAGAAGCCAATATAAAGCTGAGATCAGATTACTTCCCCAGACTTTACCTTTAAACATTTCCCTCTGAGCCTTTGGGATCAAAGTTCCACAAAATCATTCTTGCTAATCTGTGAACAAACAACTTTAAAGGAGGTGTGGGAGGAGAGCGGCCAAATCAGTCATGCAGTTCAACAAATAAAACCAGAAAATAAGCGCCAATGTTCATCCAATCCCAAGACTGAATGAATGATCAGTTTTATCGTTCATCATTCTCTCTCCCATCCTGGTAAGACAATCTAATTACTATCATGATAATCAATGGATTTTCCCTTTAATGTGTCTTTTTTAAAGGATTTATTTATTTATGCATACAGAACTGGGGTACAGGCCAGAGGTGCATGGGCAGTGAGAGGATTCACCAGAGACTGAGTGGAGAGAACAGACAGATTGATGAAGCACACTGCTGAGGGGAGCAGCAGGCCGGTCAGGAAAGGTCTGCCGTGCCATGTGGGTCACCTCCAGGACAGGGGATCTAACTCATGCTGAAGTGGCTTTAGCTTCTTAATACTGTGCCTTAAGCCTCTGCACCACCAGGGAGGGCCCTCATGTGTTTCCTTTTTAAGAAGAAACTGATTTGCCTTAATGTCATATCTACTGTCAATTTCATTTTTTAGTGCTTACTAATCTTTATAAAATTTAAAAATCTGAAAGGTGTGTTCTCCCATTCATTAAGCATTATGGACTACAAAAAAAATAGCAGCAGTCAAGTCAATACTTTTCTTTGGAATAACCTCAGGTAACTACTGGTAATGCTACACAAGTTTTAAGACTTAGCATTCATCTACTGATTAATATTTACCTTGTGCAATATACCACCAACTGTTAAGAAGGTGAAAAAAAATACAAGTTCTCATATTTTTCAGGTAATACCAAACACACGTGTACAACTAGCTACACATTATAACTTGTACAACAATGCAGTGGTTAGACTAAATTTTATTATTCAATGTTAAAGAAAATAAGTTCAAAGAAATGTTCTACTACGACAGCTGTGATAAAAGTACACACCAGAAAGTTTTAAGGCTTTAAATAACCACAAATTCACCCAATTAAAAAAAAGGGGGGGGCTCCATCAAAAGATATTCTTTAAAAAACATATAGGTAAGTATTACGGAACATCATTTTCTAACAATATTGCCAGATCATAAAGAAATGGGCATTTAGAAAATCTGATAAGCAAACTATATTAGAAGTGGGAAGGCCATACAGAGTACCAAGAGAAAAATGTTTAGATAACTCAGGGACTCTTCCAGGAAAGAAGAAATTATGAAGACCTTCCATGGGAGGACAGGAGTGGAGACAGAACAAGGGAGAGGACCAGGGCCCGGGAGAAAGCTGGAGCTGCGTCACAAGACCTTGTTGCTGGCTCAGAAGTGGTTGCTGGATTTACCTCAGCATCATCAGTGGCAGGAAAATTGGTTAAAATGCAGATTCCGGGCCCTCCCTGGTGGTGCAATGGGTTAGGACACCTCAGCCTCTTCAGTGTGAGTTTGACCCCCGCCCTGGAGGTGACCCAAATGACACAGCGACCTCTCCTGTCTCATCTTATGCCCCCCTCAGCATCGTACTTTGTTGATCTCCCTACTCCGCTCCCCACTCTGTCTCTGGTGGATCCTCTCACTGCCCCTGCACCTCTGGCTTGCACCCCAGTTTTGTATGCACAAGTAAATCAATCTTTTTAAAAAATGCAGATGCCTGGCCTCATTCCAAGAGATTCTATTCAGAAGATGAAAAGTGGATGCCATGAACCTACATTTTAGAATCAATTCAGATGATTCCTTTAAAATCTTTTCATTGAAGAACCTCAGGAATATTCTTCATGGAGCTGGAGAGGGAAAAGTCAAGGGCCAACCACCTAAGGATTGTTAGTGAATTCTGACTTGGTATAGCCTCTCTAGACAACACTAAATCTGGTTCTCCAAAATTAATTCCAGTCCCAAGAAGACATAGGACACCTAACAACCATTATAGCCACTCCAAGTCAAACTTCCTTCTTTAAATTTTAGGATTTAACATTTCTTTTTTTTTTTTTTGAAAATCAGTTAAAACATCAATTACATATTTTTATTCCTTTATTACAAACTCTTTTTAGAATGGTGGAGAAATTGCTCTACTCTGCTGTAAGAGATACTCATGAAGCAAATCTACTCCTAGTAAAAGAAAGGCTGACTCTGAAACTGAGAAGTTAAATAATTGAGAACTGCTGATTCAATCCTCAACCTCAGAAAATAGGTCAACTCAGGGACAATTTAGCAGAATTTGTGACATGGCCTCAAAGTCTGAAAAGTTACTATCTCCATCAAGAAACGAGAGATTTCAATGTCCATGTGCCAGCAGCCAGGAGACTATCTGTGTGGTCAGACAAGAAAGCGGGAAGGAAGCCCCTCCCAAGGATGCCGTCTCCGTGCAATGATTCAGAATCCAGCCTTGTCAAATAATCAAACAATGCAGTTTTGAACTTCTTAATAAAATAACACAGGAAGAAGTATAGCAGAGGAGGTCAAAAGATAAAAAGATTATCAAAATCTTATACCAGCCTGTCTCTGAAACAAGCATTCACATTGCATCAAAACAGGACTTTGGTGATGTTCTTAAATACTCCAAGTGCTTCTCTTATCATGAGAGTTTTGAAGAAGCAGGGTTAGGTTGGAATTTTTTCTCAACAGAAACTTGGGGAGAGATATTTACTTAAATTAACCCTACACAGGCCAAGGATCAGACCCATAAACTTAAACTATTCTTGATACTCAAGAATCTTAACTAATCAGTGTAAGTATTAATTTTTGTTAATTCTTGGTCTGTCTTGAGTAACATGTATTATTAAAAAGGCTCAAGTGATCTCCAATTTTTTCCCACAATAGCCACCCTAGAATTTAAGAGATGCAACTATACTAGGAGGAGGCAGGAATTTTTCCTGTCCATTTTTTTAATACTATAGACTGAGGCACAAAATTTACTAGACAGTACATACTAGAAGCCTAAATCAATATACATACAATGTAGAGACGAAAGATTTTTTAAATAAAAAATGCAAAATCACATTCTTATGGATAATCCCATATTACAATCTTAATATGAAAAAAGTTGTTTTAAAGATTAAAAACATTTATATCAACAAACAAAAGAACTGTTTTTTTTTTTTTCAAAGATGATCGCTAGCCAGGTTAAGTATTCAAGAGAACAGTAAGAGATAACTAAAAATTACAAAGTAAAATTTCAGTGAGAGATACATTATTAACAATGATGCTAATAAACTTTACATAGCACTGACTATGTGTGCCAGGCATTATTTTAGGTGCTTTTCATTTTATCTGTCAAGATCCCTACAAAGGAGGGTTGTAACATTACTATTCTAATTTTACAGATAAGAAAGCCGAGACAGGGCACCCTCGTGGCACAGGGGTTAAAGTTTCAGCACTATCAAGCTGCTGCAGCCTGAGTTCTATCCACATCCAGGAAGCTGACCCACATGGCACAGCAGACCACTCCTGTCTTGCCCTCTGCTCCCCTCAGCAGTGCACTTCAGTAGATCTGCCTATTATGTTCCCTATTCTGTGGCTGGTGAAGCCTCTCAAACTGCAAGTCCCCACCCCCACGCCACACCTCTGACCTACCCTCCAGTTCTTGTATGCATAAATAACTAAAATAAATATATTTTTAAAAATTATATTTTTCTGCCTATTGAAACTAAATCATCATGTACTAAGATACTGACACAGACATATGCAAACATTTTGAAAAACAATATACCATGAAAACATTCAAAATTTAATACTAAATACAGCAGTTGAAGTTTGAGGATGTTTTAAAGACCAGTAAAGGAGAAAATATCTAAGACAATTCCAGGAAGTCTGAACTTAGAGCCTCGTTTGTGAATCTAGCTAATATTATTAGGCTGAATAACTCTCTAAATGAGCCACAAACTATACTAAAAGTTTAGGAAATTTTCCAAAAGCAAAAATTAAACAAAACTAAATCTCAGAAGCATACCTGCAATCCTGGCTGCTCCCAGAACAGAGGGACAGATCCCCGGATTTGTATGAAGGAAGAAACCGCATCATCTAAGTACACAACCTACAGGGAAAAGCAATGTGTGAGACAGCCCTACCAAACTGTCCCCTTCTGCCGCACAGACACAGTATCGCGACAGCCAGTCTCTCCAACACTAACTGTCCTAACAAAATATCCAGAACAGTCCACGAAGTAAGCATGACTTTTCAATTAGTGATAGGTCTTCTCTCTATATATATTATAAAACTAAAAATATAAGCAAATCATAACTTTAAAAAAGGAACCCCTTTAAATCTCAATATTTTACGAATATACTTTCTGATTCATTTAATTCTTGGTTACTTTTTTTTTTTTTTTTGCTTTTTATGTGTTTCAAAAACTAACATTAATGTTTTCAAAAACTAACTTGAATATCTACATTGGGAAAATAGCCTGAATCTACAATTATATAGTTTAACAGCTAAAATAATCACAACTTTAATTTTAGATTATACCTATATCTACCTTTAAGAGTTAGATTTGGAGAAGTAAACTTTTCAAGTTGTCTAGCTCTGTAATTAAAGATTATAAAATTTAAAACAAAACACATGTTATTGACAATGCCATATGAATTAGAGAAATCCATGCTACCTACTGGAAGGGCACATTAAACCAGATTTAAAGGATGCCTTTTTAGGAAGGCTTAAAAGTAGTCAAAAAAAAAGAAAGAAAGAAAGAAAGAAAGAAAGAAAGAAAGAAAGAAAGAAAGAAAGAAAGAAAGAAAGAAAGAAAAACAAACATAAAATGACATTACAGATATTAAAATAAGTTCTGAATCAAAGCAAATGATTATTATTTTTCTATGCCTCTCATCTAATACATGAATTAAACAATATAAAACACTGCCTACCTGTTCTGTTTCTACAAAATTAGCAACGTGACCATCATCATTTGTTCCCCGGACATTAAATCGGGTCCCAGCTCGTTCGCAGCTTAGTCTGGAAATGAGGCAAGCCTTTGCCTGTTTATGAGCAGCATAGATTGTTCTGATTTCCACTCCTCCACACATGAGGCGTAACAACCAGTCATCACAATTCACACCATAGTGCTTGAGATGCAAGTGCAGAGATTGATTCCTGACAGAAAAACGAAATAGCTGCATTAGCTTCATGAGTTCTATAAAACAGTCTAAATTTTAAAATTGTGCTAATGGGCTAGAAGTTGAAGAAATCAAGAGAACAATCACACTTACAATTATATCAACAAGAATTAAATATCTAGTAGTAAACTTAACAGAGGTGAAGGACCCTAACAATGAAAACTATAAGACACTGTGAAAGAAACAGAAGACCCAAAGAAATGGCATCAGAAAAATTAATATTGTTAAGACATCTATCTCACCCAAAGCAATATGCAGATTCAATGGCATTCTTCAAAGAAATGGAACAAATATTACTGACATTCATATGGAAACACAAAAGGCAATAAAAAGTCAAAGCAATTCTGACAAAATAGAGGAAGACCAGTGGTATCACATGCTCAGACTTCAAACTATACTATGCTTGAATGATGACACACAAAAATAATAATCAGGGCTTCCCACTGTACCCACTTTAATTGAAGAGGGCCCCTATGCATTCTTTAGCAGAGTCCTCCCTTTGCTGTTATTTCCATTTCTCTCTGCTGTCAATATGTTGCTGTACTAGCTCTATTTATATGTATACATACCTCCCAACTGGAGGCAGCTTCAAATCTCCAAGTAGAGTGAAACTACTCGGGGTTTTGTAACAGGTCAATTGGCCACTCCCTGATTACAAAATTTACTTGGCTGCATCCTGGAAAATGTTTTTACTAAGCTGGAAGGGTATCCATAGTGAATTCTAAAAGCTTTCACTTTCATATGCAAAGTGAAGCTCCAAGTGCCAATCTTCTCCAAAAATCTGTAACTTTTGGTAAAAATGGTATGTGAGCAAAATTCAACTTTAGTGTTTTAGCATCCCTTTTGTTCAACCTTCTTTCTAAAGGATAAATCCTCCTCCTTCCGCCTTCCTCAGCACCCTGTTATCTAAATCTGTCCCTACCCCCACTGGTAACTGAATAAAAAGATAAAAGAATTATTCCCTCTGATTAGACTTAGCAAATGTACTTTGTTGTTGACACTTTAGCCAATGCATCTGCACCTGCTTGGATTTCTAATGGCAGGAAAACTCATCTCTCCATTTAAATGATTTTGTAAAAGAAAGAGGAGGGAGAAAATGATAAAGACTGACCTAAGTTCCTGTGCAGCAACTGCACCTTTTCAGGGACATCAGTGTTTCTCTCCATAGAAAAAGTGCAGCGCTGACATGAGAGGACAAGACTCTGTCCAATCATCTGCCCAAATCAATCTGCTACCTACCAGCTTCACCTCCTGCTTTGTGAGGGCTCCAAGTCTCTGACAACAAACAGCCCCAAACACAGGATAGCTCCACTTCAGATATTTCAACATCAGGGTGGTGCAAAAATGATGATAAGGACTTAGCAGAAGCTGTATTTTGAACTCTGACCCTTCCCCAGGTGAGCCACGTGGGCACAACACTGCCCTATGATGCAGTGGTAGCCGCCATTAGACAACCAATGCTCTGGTGGGCCAGGTTCCAGCGTTTTTTGGATACAGATGGCCCTGAATTCCAATGCTTTGATTAATGGTATTCTCAGCTTACAGAGGGCTTTGCAGGATGGTATTCCATGGTAGCTGAGGACGCTATGCATAGTGCTCTAAGCCCTTTTTTCTTTTCTCTCCTCTCTTCCAACCCACTACTCTGGGCCAAGACATTTCCACATGTGCTACAAGGGGATCAAGCTGTTGCTCTAAAGTTAGTTTCCTATTCTAACTCTGCAGATTTTGAGCCCTCTGCCATGTACGGCACAAAGGCGAGACTTCTGTGTGCTGACCAAGGACCATACAGGTAGAAAGTGTGAAGGAGAGAAAGTATGCAGGAGGTTCAATACACCTTGAAGCTGAACTACTAGAGAAGTAAAGAGAAAAGAATTCTGGACTTTGGCCATATTACATATGTAAACACACTGACATTTAATTTGCACATTATGTTAAGGTAAAAGTCAACATCGACAATGGCTGTGAACAAGAGAAGCATTATACTTGAAATCTGCTCTGCTACAATAAAGCAATACTAATCCCAGTCACATGTGCTCTGCTTATCATTTGTGAGTACTTACAGTACAACACACTATGCATAATCAGGAAATATATTACTTAACTATATAAGCCTCATTTTACTATGTACTAAACTTTACCCCAATTTACTACTTCTTCACAGTCTGTTGCTCTTAAATGAAGATCATCTACTTATAACCTTCAAATTAAAGATATGTTGGCTTAGAGGCACTATTGCTAGGGATATCTCAAAACTAAGGACAGAAGTGTGAGTAATGCACTCTAATTCACTCCTAGTTTTAAGAAACTGCAAATATGTTTCTGAAATGAAAGGTCAGTCAAGGTCAAGTCACATGCCAAGTTACACAAACTGAAAGTGGACCAGTCAACTCTGAGGATTCTGCAGCAGGACAGAGGGTGTGCTGTCATCACGCATCCCTGCTGCTTCTGGGAAAACGTGAACCTGCTGTGTTCCAGCCACTAAGCTACTGCACACATGACCACAAAGGGAATAATACAACACAAACTCACCAGAAAAATCTATTGTCAGTTGTGTGTTCTTGCATGCTTCGATGAGCATTAAGACTCAGGTCTAAACTGATTCCAGATGCAGACCATGCAAAATAAAAGTTTCCTGAATTCAAAACTTTTCGTACTTCAGAAATCCGATCCTCATCTGAAGAATCAACCCGTAGTGATATAAATTCAGTGGAAGTAACTCGGAAAACTTCAGATTCTTGAATTTTTCCAACAGACATACATCCAGTGACTAAGACCAGATAATGTAGCATAGTATCACCTGGAAAACAACAACAAAGAATTGACTGGATGAAAGGTCTGAGTATTGTTCAAAGAGTTCAAAGTTTCTTCCCACTTTTTTCTTGGGTCTCCATCTTTGAAATCTGACATTCTGGTTGTTTATCATAGACATGTTTAAATTCAAAGCTAAGTATGGCAGAGGTAAGAAAAAATCCTTCTTTAAATACATTTTGGAGAATGAAGCATTTAAGCAATAACAGAATAACATCACATTTCTGAAACTGTTCCCCTATCTTTTTGAGGCTATATGAAATTTATCAAATGAAAAACTGTGTTAACTTCCTACCTTTCCATTAGGATTACTATGATGCTCAGATAAGATAATGAAGGTGAGAATTCTTTCTAAATAAGGCTTAAAAAAACATGTATTAATGTGAAAAAACATGTGTTAATGTGAGTTGTTGCTACTGATATAAGGGCAAAAACTTACCAAGATTCAATCGTAAAACACCTAAGAGTCCATATGCATCTAGTACTTTGGAGTATGTACTCTTGATTGCCTCTTTTTCTGCAGATGCTACAAAAAAAAAAAATTTTAGGGTAAGAAAAAGGACCTGAAATGTCAGGTTCTAATTAGCTACAAGGCCAGAGTTTCAACCAAAAATGTTTAAATCTTTGCATATTTTAAACATAAATATATGGCGTAAAAACATTTTCTCAAACAAATTCACTGAACTGCTCTTTCCAAAGAGTCAACAAATTATTTCAGCACCATCTATTAAATAATTCATCCTCCTTCACTGATTTTTGTTATCTTTAATAATATTCATATTCATATGTTGTTTGCCTTTTCTTCCCTGTCCCATCTACTCCTAAAACTGGTATCACTTTGTGAGGATGAACCCCAAAGGACAATACCTAGCTCTTTGACAAGGAATCTTCCAGAATTTGTCTTCAACATACTGCTTCATTTTCCATTACTCTCCCTCCCCACTTCTGTTATCCTATGCTCTAATCATATTAAATTCTCGCTATTGCCCAAGCAAACTCTTTTACCTTACTGTACCCCATCTGATTTACTTATTCTTCTATAAAGTTAATATTATCTTACTAACAAATATAATCCAGGGGTTAATTTCCCTAGCAGGCTACGTGACTGTTCTATTGAAGCTTGAAAAGAAAAGCCTTTCTACTTTTGAGTGTATATATTTACTAAAATTTTGACAAAGAAACATAACGCACAGCTAGTATCTCAAAAATTACATTCTAAGGTCCACAAATCCGGGAGGTCTGATCCTCTTTCTGGCTGGGTGCTAGCCCTTCCTTTTTCTGTCCTCCTCTGTGGCCCTCCCTTTTCTACTTTTACAACCCCCTCTGCCCCCATCCTGTGTGTGTGTCTCTCTCTCACTGCTTTTCATGCCCTCTACTCTCAATAAGCCTTCTTCCTAGTTACCCCACTTCTGCTTTCGAATGAGCTGTGTTCTGCAAGTTGCAGCACAGGCTGAGAGTGAACAACTCCATTGCTCCATTAAGCTGATCTTGTCATAATTCTCTAGCATGTTCATTGGTAGGTGTGGGTCTTTCTCTTTATCAAACCACACAGTATGCATTTAGGAAGTGAAGATTTCATCAAGTCATTAAAGCTCTGTGCAGCATTTGGATTTCATTTTGTATTCCTAGAATTCTATTGTGATTATTATTATACCGCATGTTTATAAAACAGTTACTGCTAACATTCTATGACAAGTAACACAAACATAAAATGTCTCAACATATACTTCAATTTTACTTTTTAAAGTAAAACAGAATGCCTCCACCTAAATATTTCCTTGTTAAGAGTACCACATGACACAAAAGCAAACAATAATGAGACCTGTTAGATTTCTGATGACAAAGGTACGGCATGCTTGTAGGGCAAACATGACGCTAGAGCTTTACAGGTTCCATGTGATCTCCATTTAAATCATCATCACTAATACAGACACAAATTACTATGCAACAGCATTTTCTGTTCTAATAAACGAATAATCATCTTTTCATTAATTATGCTCCAAATACACGCATAATCTCTCTCAGGCCCAGAAAGATTATCATTCAACTCAAACAAATGTCACGGTACTTAGAAGTATACTAAAGGAAAGGAAAAATACTTGATAGATGAGATTTCATTTTCCAGGAATATATTGGTTTCCTCTCAAAATATTAAGTGGAATTTTATAATACTTTTTAAAAGGACGAAGGATATTTCAGCTACTAACACTTGGGTAAGTATATTTCATGCATTATTCCATTTCAAAACCACCTCATGAGCAAAATTACTATTGCTATCTGACATACAAGGAAAGAGGATCAGAGAGGCTACATACTTGTCTGAGCTAAACAACCTGAGTCAAGAGAACGCAGCTTCAGAGGACTGTGTTCACTGCCTACCCCCAGTGGCCAAACTCGGTGCCTGACATGTAGTAGCTGTTCAAAAATTTTAAGCTCAATGAACTAGTAAATGAAATTTCAGGGCCATATGTAATTTAAACTCTATATACGTCCAATTTTAATAAAAGAATTTTTTTTTTTAATCTATAAGGCTCTAGATGTTTCCTGTTCTTCCACAAACATTTCAAAGGTTTGGGGTAGAGTGGGTGAAGGTACTTTGCAAGCTAGGACGCATGGCCCACACATGGGGTGGGAGTGAAGGGTACATTCACTTGGGGGAGGCTCTTGAAGCCTGGCACAAGGAACTTCAGTCTGAGCAGGGTGACAAGGTGGTATCCATGTGGTAATGTTGGGAGCAGTATGCCATGGTAGACTGGAGCTTGAGAAAAGTAGGGAGAGCGGGGTGCACTAGGGGCCAGCCCAGGGCAGCGTGCCAGAGTCCCAGTGGGTGAGGAGGGCATGCATAAGTATAGAGCATATAGTGTGAGAAGCTGCTATGGCTACATACAAGTGAATGAGCACAGATGGGAAGCAGGCTTCTCACTGTCAGAGGTGGGGTGCAAATATGGAAAAAGGGAAAACTAGATTGGACACTAGCTGACTGGAGATGAAGTTACCTTTGTGAACTCAGTTTTCTAGATAGACAAAGATTTAAATGAGTGAAGAAATCTTCAAACATGTTGTCCATGGCAGAGTGGGAAAGACAGGCATTGTCAAATGATGTTCTCCAGAGTTTGAACTAGGAGAATTTACGAAATGGTAGGGTGTGTGGAGAGCTCAGAGGAAACAAACTGACAGAGCAGAAATGAAAGTTCAGGAAAATGTGGAGATGCGGGCGCTCAGGTTGCACGCGCCCTAGTGCTGTCTGGCAAGCCATCTACGTGCTTTGCACCAAGGGGACAGGCTTCTTTTGTAGAGAAGTTTGTGGGTTTTTTTCCCTCCTGTTCATGATAGTGCTGTTAAACAAACCATGTGAGGAGAAACAAACTTCCCTTTTTACAAGTCACTGATTTCTAATCACAAATAGGTATGCAAGTCCAGAGAGACCATTGTTGTCGAGTCATTCTAAGCTGATTGAGAGCCCCAGCAGGTGAGCTAAGGTAAGGAGGACCGCACCTCTTTAGCTCACATGCTCACCATGGAAGGTAAGGCCCAGACCCACTTCTGAAATTACTGCTCAAACACCTTAGGGATAAATGGCACCTAACTCCCCCAACAGTTTAAAGGGAAAAACTCCTCTCTACATCACATTCAACACTATCTTTCTTGCATGCCTTAACTATTTTTAGCCTTCAGCCTGAAAACACAAATCTCCTTAACACAAGCCTACAGTCAGAACTGTCTCTTAAAACATAGCCCCACATCTTCAGAATTGATAACAAGAAGCTTTCTGACCTACTGACATGAGAATGTGAATAGAATTTAATGCGAAATGTCATGAGTATGTATGATCATGAAAATATTTATGGGTGAAATACTATCTGGGATTTACTTCAAAATAAATGGCCATGGGGAGATAGTGGACAGAGATCTAGATAAAGACATGAATTGATCACAGACTTGCAAAACAAATACCAGGGAATCAGTGACACTATTCTCTTTTCTATGATACTTGCCAAAATGAATTGATGAAAATAATTATCCTGGCAACATTCTTTGATATACTGGGTAAAGTCAGAGAGAGACAAGATAACTCTGGTCAGTCAGGGAGCCGAGGCTACTGGAATTGAGACGTATCAGAAAGGTAACATTTTCCAAGTACACCACACCAGAGGTTTATCAGTCAAAAGTCAGTGGGCATTCGGATGTTTATAAACTCACAAGGGAGCACTAAGGCCTACAGCCCTGAGGGCAGCACGGTCTGCTCTTCCAAAGGAGAAGCCCTGGCAATTCCAGACGAGAGACCCAGGAAGGATAAATATCGCTGCACCCTGCGAAAGCTGTTTTCTTTGCATTCATCCGAAATAGCTTAGCTTTAATATCCTACTTCACTGAAATTTGTAGAAGGTATAAGTTCACCTTTGTTCACTATCACAGAGGAAGAAATTATTTAGAAACAAAAACCTGTAATAGAGACATTCTACTTCAGTCATTCATTATTTTACTTCTGTGTATGTTTTCGATCTTTTAACTGAACAAGTTCATGCTGAGCCTACAATGTTTCCTATTTAAGTCACAGGAAATAAAAATAGAAGCTGTAGAGATGATCCATTTATAGACTACAGAAAATATTCAGAATAACTATATCAACTACTCTATCAAAATTTAACAGACAGCCAATTGTTCTCAATCACATTTGACACCTTTTTGCAGGAGTGTCTTATTTGCATAGCACCATGACATGTGACATGACTGGCAGCATTCAGCACTTAAATTTATACCTTCCATTTTCAAATTAGAATTTAAGACACATAATGACACATAAAATCAGACTACAGAAATTAAAATGAAAATATAATCATATACTTTTTCATTTTCAAGAGTTTGAGACTATAAAACAGATTTAACCCTCCCTGGTGGTGCAGCAGGTTAAAGCACAGCACTTCCCGCTCCGGAAGTGACCCACAGGGCGCGGCAGACCTCTCCTGACTGGCCTGTTGCTCCCCTCAGCAGTGTACTTCGTGGATCTGCCTGTTCTGCTCCCCACTCTGTCTCTGGTGAATCCTCTCACTGCCCCTGCACCTCTGGCCTGTACCCCAGTTCTGTATAAATACATAATCTTAAAAAACAAACAGATTTATTACACACAGTGGGTGCCTACAACTGGACTGCTAGCTCCACCATTGAATGGAAACAAAATTAATAACTTAGAGGTATTTTAGGGATTGAATTTAAAAGTAAATATCTCTGACTTCAAATGAATGACAATAATGCAAACTCGATAATTAGCTATCCAATAAAGATCCTGCTATCAGATGTCAACATTCTGCTGTGGCTCAAACCTTCCAGACTGGGAACAGACTGTTCTCAGTTATTCAGAAGATCAAGCCAAAGAAAGTCAGTAAAAAGAGAAAACAAGATTACAAATTAGTATGCTCTTCCTAGAATGGCAATTTGCCTGTGGTTGCATGCACTGCAGTTTGTGGTTGGCCTATTTGCATGCAGGTAACACTGCGGAGAGAACCAGTCTCTAGTCAAGCAGTCCAA